CTACTCTAATAGATAGAGTTTTGCCAAAAAGCCAATTCTTTTTGCAAAACTTGAATGGTAAACCCAGAGTAGGAAATGAATTATCAACAAAAATATTCTCAGCTTTAAGAATGGATATAACTTCAGTCTTTTTCTATGGTCTGTAATACACCTAGCATAATCAATGTGCTTTGTTTAAAAAATACAAACGTATGTGCAATTATAATAAGTAAGAATCAAACCAGCATATTCTGTGCCTGAGAAATGCCTGGAAATAATATCAATAATTAAAGTATTTCAATTTTTGTTGTAGTTGTTTCTTACATCCATCTATGTATACATATTGTCTAATATCTCTCTATATCTATCTCTATCTATCTATCTATCTATCTATCTATCTATCTATCTATCTATCTATCTATCTATCTATCTATCTATCTATGTGTAAGTGCCTGCGTGCTTGGGTGGAAATCACTGAGCAACTTTTTAAATTCAGTGTTCTCTTCCCCCCATGAGGCTTCTGGGAATTGAACTCAGGTCATCAGGATTTATGGCAAGCCCCTTTACTCACTGAGCCATGTTACAACTCCATTTTTATCTCCCAATTAATTTATGTCCCTCACCTTACAATCAGAAGACTCTGCTCAAACAGTTTCACTAGGGGTATAGCAATTCTTAAGAACCTTGTGTATATTTATAAGAAATTATATTTATTGAGACTAGAAAAGTAAATTTAGCTATAAATATCCAGTGTCTTAATAAAAGAAATCTGTCACATTAAATATGTTAGGCATTTCTTAATTTGAATAGCACTTCATTTCATCACTGCCTTTCTCTAAACTCAGAAAGTGCCAATGAGTTGTTCATGGTAAGACTGTCTCAGTCACAATGAACCTTCTCTTTGCCTGAGCAAGCTCTTCACTAAACCTCCATTTCCAATATGGGGTTGGACTGGGTAAATGCAAACCAGTAGACATATGACAGGAAAATCACAAATGCAAATACAAACTAATTGGAGCTTAATGTCAATTATACTTTTAGAGCAGTTCTTGCAAAAGTCAACCATTCCCTCCAATTAAATAGTGTATTTACAGAGGCAAATGAGAGCCAGAATCCAGGATTTCACAATGAAATAAGTTCTGTAAATTCAAATCTCAGGGCAGAATCATCAGTCCCAGTCCATGAAAGCAGCCACACCAGTGTCAATGTGACAAAGGCAAGGTGGGTTGAAACTAACACAGCCAAGACATTTCAAAGCACTTCAATACTTAATGGAAATAAATTCTAGCTGATAGATTATGTATTTGTCTAAGAAGTAGCATTTAAGGAAGCTTCAAAAGATCATATTCATTCTGAGGTAGGCATAAAAATGCAGGTTCACAAAGATCATCAGAAAAAAATTATATTTATTTCAATGTTAATGATTTTGTTAACAAGAATATCTGTGTATTTCTCCATCCTTTTTGAATTCTAACGTCCCAGAATAATTTAGAGAAGACTCTAGAACCAGACAGCTAGAGAACAAGGAAGAAAATATATAGATTGCTGTATACTCAAACACTGGCTATTATGGTAAAGATATTTGACATAAAAAGATTTCCATTGCTGCACTAAAATATAAATTAAATAGAAGCATATTATGTATTTTTCATTATAGTTGTATGGTCAAACAGTATAGTTACATCACATTGAATATGTCATGATTTAATATAAAATACCCTAGAGTTAGTATATATTCCAAGATTTTAGTCTAGCATTACATAATTTATAACATGTCATGTGCCTAGCATCTGGATGCTTACTTATATACAAACTGCTTCCTCTCATTGGCTCAAAACCTTTAGCTCAGCAAGATCATTTATTAAAACAAAGTTTCTACAAAACCAAAACAGATGTTTTGAAAAACTGATGACTGAAATTGAATTTTTATTTTAAGTAAGAATTCTGTATAGGTCTATAAGCATTCAAACATAATGTTTATGGCTTAGTCTTAACTTAGGCTAAGCTGTAAACTATTAAGCTTTCCTTCCTTCATCTCTGGTTATGCGACTCACCAGGAGTTTGGAATCCTGCTAAAGTTTCGTTACCTGCCCTGTAAGTGGCAATGTTTCCAGGAGGCAAATATTAAATTTGTGGTTTATAAACAAAATCACCAAGACAAAAAGCCAGGAAGAATGAAAGCCTGGCTCATAATTTGGTTCACAAAAGCAGGATTTTTGAAGAAACAGAGATGGACTTAATCTTCAACATCTTGGTGATCTGTGAAGTGTAGAAGACTGACAGGGTTCTAGCACTTGCAGAGGAATATTGCACAGAGTAATGACATTTGCTTTAAAGAGGTAGTAGGTGACATTTTGTAGAAGACTCTGATTTTCTGAAACCATAATCAGCAGGAACAGTGGATGGCAAATCCACTTGCTTGCCTTTTGTTTTTTTAGTGTTCTTACATATTTCTCTTTCTAACTTCCTGTAGAAATTATTTCTTCATGGGATATGTTTATACAATAATATTGTATAAATAATATATTAATATATTATAATAATATATAATACTGTATCAATATATAATATGTTCTCTATCAATATATAATTACATCTTATATATTATATTTTTTTCATAGAATATAATTTTTTATAATATATGCGTTTATATATACATATATATATATGATAAAGTACATTACAAAGATAGATATTTAATGTTTATAGCAACTAACATTTGTCACGTCTGCTGTGACTTATCCAGGATTCATGACATCTTATATAGTAATAGTTTATACATTTTGCATCTGGTGTGAGTTGAACAGGGTATATGCACACCTCTTCTTGACCCAGAAAGGGAACTTATTTTAACACAGTGATTATGACCTATGACCCCTGCTGGCTGTTAAACATTTCTGAACCTTCTATTTTGTATGACAGGATCACCTGTTACTGTGTTTCCAAAGTCAACATTCTACCAACACAAAGGCAATGAAAACGTGGTATGTTTTAGGAAAAAGTGTGGCTTTTGTTTTTAAAGCACTATATCCCAGAAATTGCTATTGAAGTCTAATGCAGCAATTCTCCTAAGTGAAAGTTGGACTCCAGGAAGGGAACTTTTTGTTTTATTTTGTTGTTTTAATATAATATTTTAAATGTATTCTTTGAGACTTTCATACATGTAAATTATATATTTCTGTCACATTCACCTCCCATCTCCTGAGCTCTTCTGAGAATCTCCCCCATTTACATTTCCTAACTTCATGCCTTTCTTTGTGTTTTCATAATCTACTGAGTCCATATGCATGAATGTGGGGCCAGTCTGGTCAACCTACCAGGGACCATAGACCTAAAGAAACCTGATTCTCTCTCCCCTAGTAACGATCAACTCTCAAGAGCTCTTCAGCCAGAGGAGGGTTGCATGTGCTACTCCTACCTCCATGCTGCAGTGTTGATGGGCTCAATCTTGTGCAGCTCTTGTGTTAGTACCCAGAAGTGGCCAAGCTGCCGTGAGTTCATGAGTACAGTTGTCTTGTCACATCCAGAAGACACTGACACTCCCTGACTCTGGCTCTCATAATCATTCTGCCGCTTCTATTACTCAACCCTAGAAAGTGGGAAGGGAATGTAATATATCCAATGGGAAGGTCCAATTTATGGATAAGCACTCCACAGACACTTGATCTCAGCACTTTGACTGTGTTTTAACTACAGTCCAATGTTCACACACCAAAAAGCTTCTCTGATGAAGACTGAAAGCTGCACAAATCTTAGGTATTGAAGTAAAGTACATATTTCCAAAGCAGTTTGATGTCCATTTAGCAAAATAATAATAGTAGATTCACCCGTAGAGCTTATGAGCTCCCTAGGTTCTTGGTCAGATTTATACTTATCTAAGTTCCCTTCTGTGGAGTGCACCTTAAATTTCATCAGAAAGTGATTGATTACTCCTATGGCATGCAAGACATTTTTGCACGTATGGGCATGTCTTGCCAGGCCAGTCCTTGTTGTAGTTCACGGGGTTCACAACTGAGGTAGACCAATAATGACTCTTCTCCCCCAGTAGCCTGCATAGCAGCTTCCAATGCTATAAAAGCTAGCCAGCATACACAAAGCTTCCAGATCAGCAAATCCTGTGAACAAAGTGTGTGCTTCAGCAATATGATCTTACCCTCAAGTTGTGTGGGCAACAAAAAGCAATAGCAGTAACGTGTATTGTTTGGTGGATTTCTGTGGTCTGTCTGATAAACAACTCAAGGGAAGTTACCCACACCTGGAACTGGTACTTTTTATTTTGTAACCTATGGCTTCTGTGAGAAACATTATCCCTGGGTAGGGTTAACTCCATTTAAACTCAGCTATATCTACGCATACATATGTGTACATGCATACATATGCACATACATAAACACCTATATTTGAAAGCTTATAAACTAGTAGGTCTCCATATGACTTTTTTCAAACATCTTCAGTGTTGTTTAACCTCCTGCACTCCTTCCTCGTTCCTATCCATGAATAAAGAGAAGAAAATTTATTAAAGTTTTTCCAGAAATAGTGTGAGTCAAAAGTGTGCTGGATAAAGAGCCATATATCCTGGAACAAGGACATCTGAGACTGGATAAATGCTACAATAAAGAGAAATAAGCATGCATGCTAGGGCTGTTGTCTTTGACACTAGGAAAAAAATGAAAGACAAAAACGTAATGGCAGTGGTTGAAAAGAAACATCTTCACAATCAGATTTTTTTTTACAAGACAAAATTAGAAAACAGAGTAGTTCAGGCATGGCAGTTATTTTCTGAGGATCTAACTGGAAGAATCAACCATCATTCAAATGTTCGGATTTGCATTCTTAGTTTCACATGATGAGCATCCGATTCAAAGTCATCTAATTTTCTTCCTTATAGTAAAACATGCATAAGCCTCTCCTACATGCCGGGAGCCATCAGGCAGCCAGGTTTCTCAGTGTGCAAGGTTCCCGTGTGCAAGACCCTCAGGAGGAAGAGTCTGAGGTCATCCAGAGAAACACTGAAATTCATCATGACTTTCCCTTTCCTAGCTATTCTTCACATGGTCATCATGACAGCAGAGTTCCTCCTAGGGACAACAGTGAATGGATTCCTTATCATTGTGAACTTCTATGACTTGGCCAAGAGCAGAAAACTGCTGATACTGCAGATCCTCTTGATATGCACGGGGCTGTCCAGACTCGGGCTGCAGATGATGCTGATGACCCAGAGTTTCTTCTCTGTGTTCTTCCCATTTGCATATGAGGAAAATATTTATGGTTCAAAGATGATGTTCATTTGGATGTTCTTCAGCTCCGTTGGCCTCTGGTTTGCCGCCTGTCTTTCTGTCTTTTACTGCCTCAAGATTTCAGGCTTCACTAAGCCCTGGTTTCTTTGGCTGAAATTCAGGATTTCAAAGCTCATATTTTGGCTGCTTCTGGGCAGCTTGATGGCCTCTTTGGGCACTGCAACTGTGAGTATCGAGGTAGGTTTCCCTTTAATTGAAGATGGGTATGTCCTGAGATACACAGAACTAAACATTAGTGATGTCAAGGTAATGAAAAATAATGACTTGCTCCTCGTTAACCTGACCTTACTACTTCCCTTCATGGTGTTTGTGAAGTGCACCTGTCTGTTATTCATTTCTCTTTACAAGCACACGTACCGGATGCAAGCTGGATCTCAGAAGCTGTCAAATGCCAGAACAGAAGCCCACATAAATGCATTAAAAACCGTTGTGACATTCTTTTGTTTCTTTGTTTCTTACTTTGCTGCCTTCATGGCAAATATGACATTTAGAATTCCATACAGAAGTCATCAGTTCTTTGTGGTGAAGGAAGTCATGGCAGCATATCCAGCCGGCCATTCAGTCATAATCATCTTGAGTAATTCTAAGTTCAAAGACGTATTCAGGAGAATGATCTGCCTCAAGAAGAAGGAGTGAGCAGGGTCTTGTTTCCCTGCCACGATTCCAGTGGACTCTTGATTTCTGTGCCCTCTCTCCTGCCCATTTCCTCCCAGGTCCTACCCAGGACATGCAGGACAATCATTTCATCTTGGGTGGATAGGATATCACTCGTCCATGAACTGTGGATTTAAAATATTGTGATTTCTGATGATAACTACTAATTTTCCTGCAGTACCAGTTTTATTTTAGAAATTAGAGCAAGGTTGAAATATTAATTGGTAAATCAATATTTGGCTTTTGCTGTCTGTCTTTCCAGGTAATTGGTTATCTTCTGGTTGATACAGGGGAAAATATCTGAATTCAGTTCAAGACCTGACAGATTTATTTTTAAAAAATGATTGTTTGATGCACTTAACTTTTTAAAAGAGATTGATTAGCAAAATGCCAATGGCATGATAATACTGAACATTAAGGGTGATGCCATAGTTCTGCTGCATAAAGGGTAAAGTCTCATCGGCTTTCAACATGAAGTGGATAGATGGGAGAGAGGGTCAGGCGCCATTTCAGCCAGCCTGCATAAGCAAACAAGAACAAACAGGGATCTCTGTTTCTGTTTTGTCTTTAGCAAAATGAAGATGTACTTTTCAAGCTTCTGAAGTATGAAACTCACCTCCATAGAGAAAACATGAAGGAGGTTGCTGAATGAAAATCTCAGAAGGAAACACTCCCTGTAGGACCTGACCCGATTCCTGACTGGGACTCTTGTCTGGGTCCAGTAGCAGGAAATGAATTGGAGACCTAAAGTGAAAATTTGGGTATTTGCTTTGAGGAGGAAAAATAATTTTTGGAACAACTTCCTTTGCTTGGGACACCAGTTAAAACCTGAAATAGTCTCTTTGGCTCTTAAACCAAAACAATATGTCTTACTTTAATTATAACAAGCTGTAATTAGGATTGGTTGAGAGTTGCTAGGATGAAGAAAAACTTGGATATGTATGAATATGTACACTGGTTTACTGCCAGATAAAAACTGTGAATATCCTAACAATGTTGCCACTTTTCTCTGAAGAAAAGTTTTTCATATTTGAATGGGTGATGAACTCTGTGTTTTGGAACATGTGTGTGAAGTCAGGTTGCTGGTCCCAACATGAGTGCTCTGGTTCAGTGGGTCAGGAAACATCTGAGATTGGCAATGCTCCCAAGTTTCCATAGAATATTGCTGCTGGTGGCTTGGGGGACACTTTGAGAACCAGTGTTTTACAATTACAGTGGTTAAGAACATAATTTCTGAGGCCCAGTTGGATGGGTTTATACCTTACCAGTTGCTAATTAGTTCTATTAACTTGGTGAGCCCCTTGGTGTGTTAGAAAAGCTGGAAGACTGAATGAAGCTATGAAAGATGTGAGGTACCAGAAGATGCCAACAGGACAGGGTGTGTGCGGGTGGGAGCGGAGGAAGAAGGCAAGTGAGAAGACAATGCTTGGCATTTTGTCGTGATCTTTAGGAAAGGCCATGGATGGTAATGCCCATGTTGCCGTCATCTGTACCACATTGTTGTGCATTATGGTTGCTTGGTCTGGTAAGTAAATGATAAGGTAATATTTTCTTTGAGTAAAGTTGGTCAAGGCACCATAGTGTAATAATTATATATGGTGATATTTTATTTGTGCTGAAATGTGATTTTATTTGTATGTTAATAAAGTTGCCTGGGGATCAGAGCTAAGAGCAAGCCATTTAGCGGAAGTCCGTCGGTGGTGGCACATGCCCTTAATCTGATCACATGGCAGGCAGAATCTGTGTGTTCAAGGACATAGCCAAGCAGAGACCCAAACATTTAATCTCAGCACAAACCATAGAGACCGGAGGTCTGTATAGACAGGCAGTGATGAGGAAGTCATGTAGTTGGGTTTATAGTCAATGAGAAGGCAGAATAGAAAGGCAATAAAAAGACAGGACACAGGAAGAAGGTCTCTCTCTCAGGGGAAGGACAGCAGCGAGTGGCAAGATAAGGTGGTTTTAGCTCTTGGGTACTGCTCGATCTCTGGGTTTTTAACTCTTTATTTGGTTCTGTGTTTCATATTTAATAAGACCCTTTAGAATTACATCTACAATTATGCTTTGAACATCCTCAGCAAGAGGACTGGTACACTTGAGAGGCCCCTTGTTACTAAGTTTTGAGCATCAACAACATGGATAGCCAGCCTCAGGCTCAGTGGAACACAGTCAAGTTCAGTGTATGTATAGCTTGATAACATCACATAGTACCAGAGGTATCTAGCTCACCTACAGGTTTGCTTTGTAGATATATTTACCATGACTTAATCAGCATTTCTGAGAGTGATCAAAAGGTTCTTTTTCTTTATATCAATCAGTGATTGTGTGTTTGAAAAAAATTTACTTTAGTTTATTCTGTGTACAGCAAGCATGGCTTCCTAAAATGAATCCAAACTTACCTTTTTCCATCCAGACACGGAGACAGTTAGAACTGAGCTCTCTTCTCCTGTCCTTGTGATAGAAGTTGCTTCCACTCTGAGCTCCAACTGGATCCTCACTTCTTTCTTTGAGAAGAGAAACATGATTGTTCTCAAGTCCCCAACATCATTACATGTTGTCCAGACAACTTTCCTAAATGCCTTTTGAGAGGAGCTTCCACATGAAGACAGTGTTCTTTCTACCTAAATGTTTTATATTTCTTCTGCTCACTTGCTCTTTTTATGAAGCCTGTGATAAAGGACAAGAAGAAGGGTCCTCGCTACCAGTGTGTCCAGCATAGTAGACCCACTGCCTGTCCGTCCAAGAGCAGTCAGAAGGAACAGAAAGCAAGGCTTCTCCTCATCCCTTCTGTGGTTGCTTCTTGTCTTCTCTGTGATGACACATAATAGCCACAGAGATTACCTTGCATACTTGTCTGAAGGATAAACTGACACATGTCTGACTTTCAATATTGAGTCCTTGTTCTCTGGACAACTTTCTAGAAATTACCATATCTTTTCCCACTACCCGTTCTCCTACTGTCCTGACAGATAATTCTTTTCATTTTCCAGTCTGAATCTATGTATCTAGTTCTGCTGTGCCATTTTCTCTTCTTTCTATGTTAATCTTTATTTCTTTTCCATCATATCTGTTATCTCCAACATGAAAATTGTGCACTTGATGGAGAGAAAAGTTAGTCTAAGCAAACAACACAGGAGCGTAGCAGTTACTATTATACCCCATAAAGAAACTATTCTTATTTTTTTCTTCTAAAAGAAAAAAAAATAAGTCCTTTTTAATGCCCCTGCTAAGTTATAGAGGAGTTCAATCAGTTACCTGTCACTTGATAGAAATTAATTCCTCAAAGACTCTTCTTATACCTCATTGGTATAAGTGTGTTGTCTAAGTAGTACTCAGTACTCAAGAGGACCCACATTGCTTAAAGCACAGAGACACAAACCTCAATGCCCCAAAGTTTCCATTTTTCCCATTACCCTCCCAGCTTTGTTGGGAACTGAAAATAGCTTGTACAACCCATATATTTCATGTGGATAAAAAGTTTATTATACATGCAGAATTATCTACATCTCAGAGAGTGCATTCTTAAGAGGGCTAGAAAGAATTCTGAGAAGTTGCTTCTGCTGCTTATTCACGTTGGTGTCCCTCATTCTTGCTTCCAGGTTATGAAGCATCATGCCACCATCAATATCAGTGTTGTTCATCCTTCTTCTAAGAAACCTTCAAAGACATTGTCATACTCTAAATATCTTTATTTCTCATACAGGACAGAAGAGCATTATCACATGTCATTTTGTACATTATCTTACAGCATGTGCTTACAGTTTTATCTTCACTGGACAAGTATTTCCAATACTGTTGAAATACAGAGCCATACTACAATATAGTTTTAGTCCCAAATGCATAATAGTAGTCAAGTAATCACAAACAAGTACTTGAGTATATGCTTTGGATCAAGAAACTTACGCCTCTTTGTAGAATAAAAGCAGAGATAAAGTCAGATAGTATGTTAATTCTATTACTAAAAGTTGTAAAAAGTTTAGTTAATACAATTTTATTGACATTTACAAAAGAAAAAACTCATTAAATTGAATTTCAGGAAAGAATACAGAAATTTTTACTCTTGTTCTTCAGTTTATCAATTAGGACAAAATTGAAAGTAATGTACTGCCACCTAGTAGTGAGTAATCACATTACAGGAAATACGAGTTGAAATGTGAAGACGCCAGCCACAAGAGATCTTTGTCAAAGTAGTTTTGTATTCTATCAAAAGTATGAAAAAGAGGAATGAATGCTAAAGTCGTAGAAAAATTTGGAATAAATATTAGTAATTCATTTATCTCTTCAAATACAATACAAATTATAGCATTTATAAAATAGGAGTATATTCGAATATAAGCTAGATCATGTTATAAAAAAAATTCCTGATCCTTCATTAAAGATGTTGTATTAGATTTATGCCCATGTTTTTATTTTAAAACATCTTTTGGGGAAATATTATGAAATAATTACTTATGAAATTATATGACACATTAAACAACAAGTAGAATGGTGAAAGTGAGCTGGAAGATGAGTGGGAAACAATGTTGTGAGACAAGATTGGCCATAGTTTGTACTATTTCAAGTTATATGACAGTTTCCTGGAGATTCATTATATAATTTTACTTCTGTGTGGTTTTGAAAAATTTTAATCTCACCAAGACATGTGTTTTAGTTCAGTTCTCTAAATATATATATATATATATATATATATATATATATATATATAGATAGATAGATAGATAGATAGATGATAGATAGATAGATAGGCAGGCAGACAGATAGACAGATAGATATTGAACTTTAATAATGATGCCAAATCACACCTCATATGCTGAGAACAGGGTACTTGGAGTAGTCTCAGAATAGCAGTCTCCTTCTATGGCTACAGTAATTGATGGTAGTTACTCAGTCCACAGGGCAGGGTGCCTTGTCGTCTGAGTCTGGCAGTCCTAAAAGCCCTGAAAGGTCCAGAAGAGTTGTGAGGAAGGTCCCTACCAGAATGA